CAACGTCATTAATTTTGTTCACCGAGACACCGAGTTATGATTCTTCTACTAACTTGTTTAATCAATATTGCGTCAAATATTAATTGTGGTTTGAGTCGAAATAAGGCAAGCTGCGTTATACAGTGTCTTGTTTCTGTTTGCTTCCTCTCGTCATGTGAACACAGTTGTTTTTTTTCGGTTACTCATACTTTGTTAGCTATATCATGTGTCGATCTTTCATTTGTTCTCGTCCACAATAATTTGTTTTCTTATGCCCAATCGTATATATTTTTATCGTCAATAAAAAAGATGTTACGTTCCGCTATTAGAATGTTTGATTAATTTATCCAAGTGATGAATTTTTTAACCCTATGCTAATTGTCTTCTAGTGTAAAATTATATTCGAGGCGTAATCATACTTTCGAAATGGGAATTGGTTGAGAAATAATCAGATATTTTTCATGGATAAATCTTTCTTTTCTAGGGCGATTGCTTAACAAAGTGGCACACACATTTATTGGTCAATCCAACGGCTCCAGCCAATTTCAAAAATGGATCTGTTTATGAAAAAATATTCAAAGTTCTCGAAAATATATAACCATAACTATGATTACTCAAAATTGTGTTATAATTGACTTTTAAATAACGATGAATTTGTAAACAAGTACAAATTCAATTGTACAAACTAATTTCTGTTATAAATAAGGGTCGACCTAAACTTTTTTTTTCCTTTTTTGTTAAAGGATCTAAGTCGACCTATATAAATTTCTTACATTAGATGTATACTATGCTAAAATTAATAATAATCGAAAGTTTGTCTTATATACACATGATGATAGCTTTTGTATGTAAACCTTTCAAAAATATTACTTTCATTCATGGATAGACTAATCTTTCAACAGTTCCTTAAATTAATTTTACCTAAATACGAAACGAAGTTCATCACGTAGGGCATTAGATGTTTCTTAACTGAAGTATATAGGATGGTTACATCTTTGGACATATTATTATATTGATATCTAGCTTGACTTTGTTGCTAACCTATTTCAAACTCTAAATTGTGATCGAAATAGGTTTTCATTGCACGAGTATATAACGAATAGTTATGTTTTAAAATGCCAACATTTCTTTTTTTCTAGGAGGGCTACCATTGACAGAAAACAAAGAGCTATATTAAACCTACATGTTAACTGATTATTAATATATATATACTCCATTATTACGATTTGTCATTCATATAGAACAAAGAAAAATATTTATAAATATTATTTTAGTCAAGGTCCATAAAAAAAAATCATTAAACTCTGGCAAAACTAATGGGGATTGACTGATTGAGGAATGAGGACATAAGCGGTTTAAATCCGGAAGAAGAGCCAATGGTGACACAGAGGAGACTGAAAAAACAAATAGGAACAAACAAATTGCTGTTCCAGACACCATAATATGTCACTCTCGGTACTCAACATTTCCACTGTCTCAAGAGTTATTTTTAGTATGACAAAATCGGCAAGAACACATATCAAAATTGTCCCCCTCTTAAATTATTTTGTTATATGACCACTTCTCAACTGGATGAATCACCGATCTTGGGTGGTGGACATTCGTTGTTTCAATAGTATAGGTAGTGTAACATGATGTGCAATAATTCGAACTTGAAGTCACTATTTGTGAGAGTGAGAGAGATGTACCGGAAAGCTTTTGCTTTTCTTTATTTGGAATTTTTTATATGGACGGTTTGGTATTTTTCCTTTTTAGGATTCAGTTCCATCGTGTTTGGTACACGATTAATGAATAACAACCGATAGTGGATTCATTGTTTTGGCCTTTTCATGCCACTATTTGAAACGTTTTATCTGGACTTGGAACCACGTGGTTTAGTTTGATTGATTTTAATTCCCACTGCCAAAATGATATTGGTTTCATTCTTTTGTCAAAAACATACACTTTCACGGGCTTGAATATGTAAATGTAATGATAAGTTGATAACTATTACAGTAGTAAACAAAACACTATGGTACATATCTTTGCCGATTTTGGTTGTTCTTTCGTTATATATTTGTGAAATGAAACAATATGACTATGCTTCGAAACTGATCACACAAGAAGTGACACGTCTAAGATTATTCTTTCTAAGAACATCGTTGCAAAAAAAGAGAGTATTTTCAACTAATAAAGAAATAACGAAACAATCTTTGATTCTTACGGATAGAAGCATCTTATTACCTTTATGCTCGGCTAAACTTTGCCTCTTTCTTTTTCTTTTTTGTTCTTGCTTTACTATTTTGGTCGGCCATTTTTCATTGTTTTGTCTTCGTGTTGGTCGTATCATCAGTGATGACCTGGCTACCTGATTAAAAAAAACTCACACGCTGTAATCACATATGTACACAAGAAACATGTTAGGCTGATCCGTTCTCGTTTGGGCTTATGATACCACAAATAAAACGAGTCAGAAAATGGAAGCATCAAATGTAAAAAGAAGAAACAATGACATGCACATGGTGATAGAAAATGAAGACAAAGCAAAACCATTTGTATTTTTTGAAAGGTTTCAGTATGATTTTGCATGCATTTATATTGTGTCTGATTAGTGATTTGACGCCTTCAATCTATAAACTTCTATTCACAAAGTGACAAAACCTTAAAGATTTTGTATGCTCAACGGCGCAAAAAAAAGCTGTACATTTTGTTTGCTTCTTCTTCTGTCTTTCGGTTTTGGCCCTTTTCAAATTCCCTAGACATTTTGGTATTCTATGGGCCAATATTAAGCGGGCCTGGGCCTTTTGCATTTAATTTAAAAACGTCGCCGTATAACTTTGATCGGCCGTTGATGGTCAATACGTATAATATAAAGGGGTTTTGATGGCGGCAGCGATTAACCGGCGAAGTCGAAATTAAGAAACTGAAAACATGGGAGTGCAAGGTCTCTGGGAGCTGTTGGCTCCTGTGGGTCGTCGCGTCTCTGTTGAAACCCTCTCCGGTAAACGATTGGCCATCGGTACGATTTTTCCTGCGATCACTAGGACAAACTTCAATGTTTTTGTTTTCAATTTGAGTTCGACATTCGACGGAATTGAAGGCAAATTTGATGATCTTCCTTTGATTTTTTCTTCGATTGCAGATGCTAGTATATGGATGGTACAGTTTATAAAAGCGATGCGCGACGAAAAGGGAGATATGGTGCAGAACGCGCACTTGATCGGGTTTTTCCGAAGGATTTGCAAGCTTCTGTTCCTAAGGACTAAGCCGGTGTTCGTCTTTGACGGAGGCACACCCGCATTGAAACGCCGCACTGTCATTGCGCGCCGTCGTCAGCGTGAGAATGCTCAGACGAAAATCCGGAAGACCGCTGAGAAATTGCTGCTTAATCGAGTAAGTGACTGTATTTTTTTTTTTTTTTTTTTTTTTTTTTTCATTTCAGTTTATTATTTGGTCATGATTAGTTTAGTTACTAAGAATTGAGAAGCTTTGCGAAATTTATCAGATTAGTGTAGTTATTAAGAAATAATAAGGTTTACCAGATTTTTCTAGTTTTTGAGTAGCAAAAATTTGATGGCTTTGGGATTTGATTGTTATAGCTCAAGGATATGAGGCTTAAGGAACAGGCCAAAGATCTTAAGAACCAAAGACTACAGCAGAATATTAGTGATAGAGAGAAGAAACATGTATCTTCTGAAGCTGTGGAAGAACCTCTGCGAGACTCTGCAGAGATAGATGATGTAGGGAGCAGTTGTTTTCAGGAGGAAAAGTTAGATGAGATGTAAGTTTTAAATTTTGGTTTTTTAGCCATAAATATCATTGAAGTTGGTGGAATTTCTTTAACGACCTCAGTTGATGCAGATCGCCAGCATCTATGGTCCGAGACAATGGTGTTGATGATGCTGTGAAAGGGTCCACGGTAAGTGAATACTAAACATTGAATTCATTTTGTAATGGCACATCTTTTTGTACAAAAATGGTCATTGGTTAAGATTGTTGTTGTTAGGATTTTTTGGTACGGCCAAGAACACCAAATGTTCATTTCTCTACACAAACCCACTCAAACTAACTTAAGTGCTTTGGTTATTGAGATTACTATGATGTTCATTTTTTTGGGGGGTGACTTGCAGAAGTATGATCCCAAGGGAAAGGGAGTTCTGTTGGATGAGGATGACCAATATAACAAAACGAAGAGTAATCTTGAACAGGAAAAGTTGGATGAGATGTAAGCAGTAGAAGTGAGATATTGGTTGAAGATGTTTACTTTCATGTATATTCATTTCGTGTTTTCCTGTAGGTTGGCGGCTTCCCTTGCAGCAGAAGAAGACGAAAATTCCACTACCAAAGCATCGACTTCAGCTCTAGAAATCCTATCTAAGGAAGAGGGCAGCGAAGAAGATGAGCAAATTTTATTGGTAATATGTGGTGTGTGGTCTATGTACCACATCTTTCTCTTGTCTATTTATTGTTCAGGGGATATAAAATTTGTTAAGCTGAAGATTTTTTTAGTTAAGCAATTGGCATCAGTTGTCAAGTTGGCTGGACATCTTTCTGAAAAGGGAAAATTCCTTTCATCTGCTAATAATATTTTCTTTTCCTACTTTTCTAGCCAGCAATGAATGGGAATGTCGACCCAGCTGTTTTGGCTTCTCTTCCTCCATCCATGCAACTTGATCTCCTTGTTCAGGTAACTAACTTTATTGACAGCATGTCTCCGCAGCATGTTGAATTTCAGATTATTCAATAATGTCTTTACTTGTAGATGAGAGAAAAATTGATGGCAGAAAACCGGCAAAAGTACCAAAAGGTCAAGAAAGTGAGTCGCATAAGTCACTGACTCGTTCTTTCTCCACTATGTATTTGGATATTTTTGTATGAAAAGACACGGAACACTGACTATGGAAGTTGTTATCTTGTTTTATGAGCATATAGGCCCCTCAAAAGTTTTCTGAGCTGCAAATAGAATCATATCTTAAAACTGTAGCCTTCCGTCGGGAAATAAATGAAGTTCAGAGAAATGCTGGTGAAAGGGCTGTTGGTGGAGTTCAGACTTCTAGGATAGCTTCTGAAGCAAACAGAGAGTTTCTCTTCTCGTCTTCCTTTTCTGGAGATAAAGAGTGAGTTGCAATTTTAGGTCTATTAAAGAATAATATCTGTTGTACAAGAAAATGACTGGTATTTTTAATGTGTTTCTAGGGTACTTGCGTCTGCCAGAGAAGGAAGAAATGATCAAAATCAGAAAAATACGTCACAACAGTCTTTGCCACTCCCCGTGAAGAATGTTTCTGCGCTGAATAAATCAGATGCTACCGTTGAGTTGGATAGAGATCAACCTAGGAATCCTGATGAAAACATTGAAGTATATGTAGATGAAAGGGGCCGTGTGAGAATAAGGAACCGACACATGGGGATCCAAATGACTCGTGATATCCAGAGGAACTTACATTTGATGAAAGAAAAGGAGAAAACAGCTTTTGGTTCTATGTCTAACAATGATGAAACTCTCAGCGCCTGGGAGAACTTTCCTTCTGAGGACCAGTTTCTTGAAAAATTACCTGTTGAGAAAAGTGATGTTGTGAACATGGATAACCGGAATGATGATTCCATGCTGCATAATCCATCTTCAATAGAGATATCATTTGAACATGACGGTGGTGGAAAAGATCTCAATGAGGAAGATGATATGTTTTTTCAGTTGGCAGCGGGAGGACCGGTGACAGTCGGTACTACAGAAAATGATCCTGAAGAAGACTCTTCAATATGGGCTTCTGACAGTGATTGGGAAGAAATGTCTGCTGACCAGAATAATGCTGTCTCTAAGCTTGAAGTGAGTTCAAACAATCAGCATATCCCCAAGGATATTAGTATCGATGACGGTGCAGCAAAGGAAGAAACCACTTGTGAAAACGCCAGTACCTCCATGGAGAATGATACAGTGTCAAAGTTCTCAAAAGGCTATCTGGAAGAAGAAGCTGATCTTCAGGAGGCTATAGAGAAAAGTCTTCTTGACTTGCATGATAAAGAATCTGGGGATATCTTTCTTGAACGAAATCAAACGGTAGAGGCAAATCTAGTTGTTGACAAGCCAACTCAAGATAGTATGTGTTCTAGTGAAGCTGAAGAAAAAAAAACTCTGGAAGGAAGACCAATCTTGAAAACTAGTGGTGCTATACATGAGCAGTCAAACACTTCTGTAGCGGGAAATGTAGATGGTGAAAGAGGGATAACCAATCAATTTGGCATGCACCCTTCTTCCAGTTCTGATAACGTTAGATGTGCTGTGAGCAACGAAATGCCACTGGCAGATTCAGTTATCTCATCCGAGAAAGCAATGGATGTTGCTAGTGACAGCCGCATGCTGTCAACCATGGCTAAACAGCATAACGAAGACGGTTCTGAAAGTTTTGGTGGAGAAGTGTATGCTATGCCCATAGATGATGAGGAGAGAACTGGTTTTCTGGGTGAGTCATCTACTCGTGGTAGTGCGGAAAAAAGTTTTGTTGATGATGACTTATCTATCAAGATGGATAATAAGAGAGATTATAGTAGACATAAATCCCAGAGTCCTGTCACTGAATCAAGGGACTCTTCTCATGATGTCAGCAGCTCGCACGTAGGGATACTACATGACACAGATTTACAGAAAGAAAGAAGGGAGGAAAATAACTTTAACGAACAACCTTTCAATATTGAGAGTATAATAGATTTAGAGGAGAAAGGCGTGCCTGTTGAATTGTCAGAAGCAAATTTAGAGGAAGAAAGGCGAGTTCTCGACCAAGAATATATAAGTTTAGGTGATGAACAGAGGAAACTTGAGCGGAATGCCGAATCTGTCAGCAGTGAGATGTTTGCAGAATGCCAGGTCTGCTTGTTGTCTTTTAAGACATATGATTCATTGTCCTCTATATATGACCCTACTTGCAAAATTTTCGAAAATTTTGTTTTGTTTGATATGACAGCAAACTTATCATGTTTTGTTGATTTTGGATTTGCTTAGGAGCTACTCCAAATATTTGGCATACCATACATCATAGCTCCCATGGAAGCAGAGGCACAGTGTGCATATATGGAACAATCAAACCTTGTTGATGGAATTGTCACTGATGATTCTGATGTATTCTTGTTTGGAGCAAGGAGCGTATACAAAAATATATTTGATGATCGCAAATATGTGGAGACATACTTTATGAAGGTTTGTGCATATCCGTCCTCAAGTTGATATATTTGTGTATATCTCTAATCGTTTGCATTCATTTTTTCAAAGATTTGGTAATTACAGCTCTAAACTCTTCTGGTTTCCAGGACATTGAGAAGGAGCTTGGCTTGAGCAGAGACAAAATAATCCGCATGGCAATGCTTCTAGGAAGTGATTACACAGAAGGGATCAGGTTAGCAGAGTTTTTAACTGTATAGGGTCAAAGCCCTGTCTTTATGTACTTGATAATTGATATCGTAATTTTTTTTGCCATGCAGTGGGATTGGTATTGTCAATGCTATTGAAGTTGTGACTGCATATCCCGAGGAGGATGGGCTTCAGAAATTTCGTGAATGGGTTGAATCACCTGATCCAACCATTTTAGGGACGCCTGACTCAAAGAAAGGTTCGAATGCAAAGAAGCGTGGATCTAGCTCTGTAGATGATAAAGGAAGCAGCTCAGGTGTCCCGATGGATGATACAGAAGAAACAAAGAGAATCTTCATGGATAAGCATGTATTGCTCTTCTTCGTGAACTTTAATATTTATATGGTCCAACTCATCAGAGATCGACATAAACTTTCTACTAATTTGATTTACCATTTGAAATTACAGAGAAAGATAAGCAAGAACTGGCATATTCCATCTACGTTCCCTAGTGAAGCTGTTGCTTCAGCCTACTTAAATCCACAAGTGGATCGGTCGACTGAGCGTTTCTCATGGGGCAAGCCTGATCTTTTAGTTCTTAAAAAGTAAGTCGTTTCTCAACTTTACATGTCACCAATATTGGGTATGTATATGATCATTCTTTCTAAGTACCATGTTTGCAAACTAATTCCAGGGACTTATCATTCCATTTACCTTCTAGAGTTCTAGTTTCCTTCAAATATTGTGGCATAGGATGACATTTTTGTGATGTCACGTAGTGCATGATAAGGGTTTCAAAGAATCTAAAATACTACTTGCGTGACCCTCGAGCTTAAAAATATCATTTTTTTTTTTTTTTTGGTGAAGGATATGCTGGGAAAAGTTTGGTTGGAACAGTAAGAAGACAGATGATCTGCTACTACCTGTCTTGAAGGAGTATGAAAAACGCGAGGTCTTCATCTACATTTCATCTTTCATTTTACGTATGGCTATGATAACTACTATGTATATATATATGACTAATTTTGTTTCCTTTCCCTTGTTTCCATGAAGACGCAACTTCGGATGGAAGCTTTCTATTCCTTCAATGAAAGATTTGCAAAGATCCGTAGTAAAAGAATTAAAAAGGCTGTCAAAGGAATCGGCGGAGGTCTATCATCAGAAGTTGTTCATAACCTCCAGGAAGGTCCAATAAATGGAAATAAGAAAAGACTCGCTCCTCATGAAACTGAAGATAACACTTCAGAGAAAGATTCTAATAAAGCCGGTGAGAAGGAGAAAAATAAAAGGAAACCATCTAGTAGTAGAGGCAGAGGTGGAGCCCAGAAAAGAGGACGAGGAACAAGAACAGGAAGAGGAAGAGGAAGGGGCCGAAGAGATCTCCTCCCCGAGCTATCAGACGGCAGTTCTGGTGATGATGTTGATAAAAATGATAAGGTAGTTGATTTGCAGGAAGAAAAACAGGGCAATCCTCAAATAGTGCGAAGGGTAAGCTCTAACAATTAACTAATATCACTTGTTTTGATTGATTTTGTGGTGAGTTCACTTTGTTATGTGTAATCTCCAGTCAACACGATCTCGGAATCCTGTGGAGTACAATGCGAAAGAAGATGATGAATTGGACGAGTCACGAAACAACGAAGAATCCCCTGGTGAGAATCTGGAAGAGGATGAATTGCTCAAAGACGAAGGCAGAGTAGCAAATGTCGCTACTGAAAAAACACAGAACGAAACAACAACCATCGATGATGGTTCTTCTAAAGACTATATCCAAACGGGAGGTGGGTTCTGTGCAGATGAAGCTGAGGCTGAGACTGGAGATGTTCATTTGGAGGATAAAGCTACAGATGATTACAGAGTGATCGGTGGTGGATTCTGTGTTGATGAAGATGATGCGATGGATGAAGAGATGCTAAAGACGGAGAGTGAAGAACACAGAAACAAAGCTAAACGTCTAAACGAAGAAGATGCGTCATTGGAGGACAATGGTGAGACTGAAATTGGGAATTCTTCAGCTGTAGGATTAAGTGCTATGCCTTTCTTGAAGAGAAAGAAGAGGAAAAGCTAAAAAAAATTACATTTGTTAAGTAGGAAGTAAAAATGCAAGTATGATTTTTAGATTTGCTTTTTGTAATTGATTTGACATGATTAACAAATGATTATGATGTGTATAGAATCTTGAAAGTATCTAGCTTTTGAAAAGGAAGAAAGTATTAAAGTTTAAAAGGCTTTTGTTGCAAAGGATAAAGGGAAACAGCAGAAAGAATTTGTGAAGAGATCGAGAATCAAACTTCAAACATGTTTATTCGTTGACTCCTATGGCTTTTTACTTTGTTTCTCGAGAAAATTTACCTTTGCCCATAGACGGACTTTGCTATTCGTTTAATAGTCGTTTGCCCATACGTTCGTTTCGTTGGTTATTCATCTCACTGTAATATAATCGTCAAAATCTTTATTATTATATTATTAATTGAGAAGTATATGAAAAATTTATGACCAAAAAATCAATCTAGTTATAAAGAGAAAGTGATTGGCAATAGATTCAATTATGGTCAATTTAGTAGATTGTAATGTTTGGATATAAGAATAAGAGAAACACCTATTAGAAGCATAAATGGAAAAAATTGTTTGGATACAAGAATAATAACTTAAAACAAACCGATGGTTTAAAAAATTTCCGTTTTTCAGCTCTTAAATATCTGCAAAATAGAAAACTTAACAGAATCTAACGATAATACCAAATCAATAGAATATGTTTTTTGGATTTTCGGGTTTTTATAGACAAGTTCGGGTTTGGGTGAAAATCTGAGACCTAATTTTATAGAGATATAGAGATATGGAAATTTTCGGGTTTCCTTGAAAATTTATGTTCGGGTTGGGTTCGAGTTTTTTTTCCAGTTAATAGTTTTCCAGATTTTTTGGATTTCAGATTTTCGGGTTTAGATATATTAAAAAAGTTTGAGTATTTTAAAATTTTGAGTAGGGTATTTGGGCCGGGTTTCGGGTGAAAAAGTTTCCAGATATTTTTTGTTCAGTTGAGGGTTTTTGGGATTTTTTTTATTTCAGATTTTCGGGATTAGGGTTTTTTGGTCGGGTGTGGATTTAGGGTTTAAATTTTCTACACAAAATCACAACGTCACACCGCACGAATACTCTACTAGGTCATAATTGTTTGAGCTTATATACAAAAAGAAAATTAAAACCACCACTATATAACTCCGCAATATATCTAAAAAAATATCTTATCGATTCTTTGATATGTCATATATAGTGAAGCAAAGACATATGTTGGAGCCTTGGAGGCATGCCATTAAAAAAAATTAGTAACAGTTTACATAAGTTTTAAATTTTCTAAAAACACACAATTTTCTTGAAAGCTCACGAAGTGTTGTCCTATGTGTGGTTAAAACTTTTGTTTAATTGATTAGGAAATCCTAAACTGTAATTTTGAATTTTCCAAAAACCTTCATTTATCTCAAGAACACCCTTAATAAAAGAAAAAAGTTTCTAAGAAATGATTAGACTATATACAGCCTAAAATTAATTAGACAACATGAAAATGAGATCAATACGTAATATTGTCTCCCATATTTAATCTCTTTTCTCCTAAATCCACAATATCTCTAACCATTTTAATGGTATAGCACTTTTTATTGTTACAAAAACTAATGGATATCTTATAAAATAAAAGTTAAATGGATAAGGAAAGTAAACACTTTCTGGTTAACTACATAGAGATGTAGAAGTTTTGTTTGAAACAAATGCAGTTTGTATATATCAAAGATAGTTTTTATTTATAACATTGATACACACATACATATATATCATGATAATACATTATCCTTTATTCCATGATAATACACGCCATGGAAGTTTATTTAATGTATTTGAAAAATATATTCCATCAATTTTAGCAACCCATATACGTATTTGACCGCATCGAGGAATAAGTCTTTCCGCTGCTCTATATACTTCAATGTCATAAGAATACTCCATATTAGGTCCTTGTCTAAAAATACATGCCCACGTTGTTAAATTGGGTATCTCGTCATGAAATCTAATGATAAATGGAGTTGCGTTGAAGTTCATTGTATGTACTTGTAGGTCATCATCCTTGGAACGACAATGATATTGTAGAACACGACCTAGTCCAAGTTGGTTTTGAATTACTACTTGGTTTTTTTTGCAAGCATCATTAAACCCAAAATATATTGTACTAACTATTATAAAAAACATGAAATGATTCATTTTTCTGGATATAAGATAAGTATTCGAGTAATAAGAAACACCAACTTGTAGTATCCCTTATATATTAAAAGAGCATACTTGCTGAGCATTTGCCACACTCTCATAATGTTTTTTAAATAACCCTCTCTTTGCTAGACTATTTACAGCTATGCCACATAAAATATTGACTACTATTTATTAAATTTCTTATATGGGATTTACATAATATGACTACTATTTATTCAGTATTGACTAATATTTATTAAATATTGACTACTAATTATTAAATATTGACTACTATTTATTCAGCAAATTCTGCTCTTTTAATATATAAGGGATTTACATAATATGTCATTGTATTAATTTGGTTAGAGAATAATTTATATCAATTATTTATACAAATTTAAGTATTTAATCATAAAGATATTTTTATTCTTTCCATGTCATATCAAATAAATCAAATTAATTATTTTCTTAAATACTATATTTTTCTTTCATTTCTTGATTCGACTAAATTTTATAAAAATAAATAAATTACCACATAATCCATATTAAAAAATGTACATTTTCTTTTACACAATTTTTTAAACAGATATCAATTTATATTATTTTCATCATTTTTTGAAAATATACATTTTTTAATATATCAAATATTTATATCAAGGTATTAATAATTACATTGTCATTCATATTTTTGGTTAGAGAATCAAATCTATATCATTAAATTAATCATATATATATGTAGATAATAAAAAATATATATATCATTCTCTTTTCTTAATCGGCAATTAAGAAAATTAGTAAATAAGTAAAATATGAGATTCAATTTAATTCTATCATAATAATTGTTTTTTTTAATCATTAGATATCTCCTTTCATATTTATTTACCTTTATTTTATTAAATAATTTGAATCACTATATAAGAAATTTAATAAATAAAATCTAAACAATTTCTGTATATACTATGATTTGAATTTTTTAAAATTAAATATTCACTAAAACTCTTAAAATTTCCATATATGATATGTTGTTGTGTGAAGGTGTAAAACTATATTAAAAAAAAAAATAGATGATGTGCAACCATGAGGCATAGGAGAGTATTATTCCAAATGTAAAATGATTTTTCTTCGACTTAATATGAATTTTTAATTAAACTGTATAATTAAATCAAATAAAACAGTTCTTCTTATAAATATATTATATTGATCAAAAATATGAATATTGCTCTATCTGTTTCACTTTATATAAAACTAATTATATTTTGTTGTATTGACAATTAGGATTCTGCATATTGTTTTTTTATTGGTCTAACTGTTGTGAAATTATAATAAAACATTTTTAGTTTTGAATGAAAGAGAAAAAAGTTAGTTATCATATGTATGCATATATCTATATCTGCTTATCTTATGAAATATATGATATATAATTTTTTTAAATAGTAGTATTTTATTTTCATTTTTTTCTTTGTTTTTTTATTATATTATAATCATTTGATTTTTACGTATATCGCCTAAGTCTATCATATTTAATCTATGGCTACGATCAACGCTTTAATTTGTTTAACTTTTTTGATAATGATTTTAATTTCCACACTATAAACCAAGACAAAAACCTAACCAAGGTAAAAAAATACTCCCTCCATACAACTATAACTATTTTGAAATTTCATACAACATAGTCCCTCGGTTTCAAATTAGTTGTCGTTTTGACAAAATGTATCTGCAAATATTTGGATGTATTAAACTCAAAACATATCCAGATACATTCAAATAATTGCAGATACATTTTGTCAAAACGACAACTAATTTGAAAACGAGGGACTATGTTGTATGAAATTTCAAAATAGTTATAGTTGTATGGAGGGAGTATTTTTGACGACAACTATGTTACATAGCATTAGCAAGCCCACCACTCAAGCTTTTTTTTTTGTTAAAAGGCCTGCCCACCACTCACCACTCAAGTTATTGCGACGAGCGTATGCTTTCAACTCTTTCATCATCTGATCAATAAGCTAGATTCCAAAACACACAAAGTCAGTGAGATACTAAAACAAACAATCGATCTTTGTCTCTGCTTCGACTTCTTTAGGGATTCAATAAATTTCAAAACTTTATCAGAAAAGAATGTTTATTTAAACCAATATTATAAAAAATCCTTATTTACATTGCAAACCAAATGTAAGTAGTATGGTGTATGAAACTATATCCTTATTTACATTGTAAACTAAATATAAGCAAATTGTATTTTGTTATGAGAATTATCTTTAAAAAATCGTTAGATTTGAACTATCTAAAAATAATGTTAATGTGTAGTAAACGTGTAACACATTAACAATGAAATGAATGAATGACATGGAAGAAAATTCTGTTAATGTGTTGTAAACGTGTAATGTATAGGCCGAGGAATATGGCAGAACAAAAAAAAAACGAAAAATCGATACCTGTCAATAAAAAAAAAGCCTTTCCTCAAAAAAAAAAAAAAAAAACGAAAAATGAAATGAATGACATGTTACAAAAGTTTGGGCTCAAATCCTTCGATTCACCTCTCTTTTTGTATTCCACATGATTGAACCCTTCATAAAAATTAAAATAATTACAAATGCCATCGTTGTTCGAAGTTCAAATTTGAAAATAATGAGTTCTACAGTGTGACAAGACTGTATTTATCAAGAAGAATATCTTGAAAGATGTAAAAACAACAATTATTGAAAAACGACCAAGATTTGAGAACATGCTCCGTTCCCAAGTTTCAGACACCATCTTAAAATCCTCACTATCTTACCGGCGCTGTTTGCTATTATTGTATAACGATGGAGTCGTGAAAAAAGAAATATACAAATT